GCTTCACCACTGTCCTGAAATCATTAGTCAAATGACCAACAAAAATGTATCAGTACTTGTATTTGCAAAAATGGTATTGGTGTATCCCTTTTATATTTATAAAAACAAAATCATACATTAAAACAGATGTACCCAGGAGCTCCGTGTGCTCCTTACAAATGACAGCTGCCTCCTACCTTTTGAATTTTTCTCTAGTCTAGTCTTGGAGCTCAAAGTATCGGTACATGTACTTGTACTTGTCCCGAGTACAGTACTTGGTATCGGTGCATCCCTACTTAAAAACATATAGTGAGGTTTTTTATGTTTTCTTGCGGGCCTGGAAATATACTGTACTTTTTAAATGTGTAAATTTAAAAAAAAAAATCTTGTATTATACATTTTCTGGGGGACAGTAGCTTAGAACTATGACGTGAGCGGAAATCACTCATGTCATAGTTCTCCTTTAACATCACTAATGGCACAAGACAGGGTTGCTCTCTCTCCCCTGCTCTTTGTTCTTGTACTGGAGCATTTTCTCTGTAAGGTGAGGGCTCATCCAGATATTACATAGTTACATAGTTACATAGTATTTGAGGTTGAATAAAGACGTTAGTCCATCAAGTCCAACCTATTAGGATCTCATTCTAGGAGAGCTTATCATTTGGCACAACTGCTCCTCAAAAAGTGGCTGCCTTGGCGGGCGACCTGCTTTTCTTTCTATCCAAACTGGTCATTTCCTTACCCAACATCATGGCAGAATTCCGACAGTTTGGAAAACTATCTAACTTTCTCATAAACTACACTAAATCTGTGGCACTCAATGTCTCAATCCTGACTTTGTCAGTTCCTCATTTACCTTCCCTTTTTAAATGGTCCTCCACGGCGATCAAATACCTGGGCACCATGATACCCAAAGAGTTATCTGAGACCTTTACTCTTAACTTTCCGCCCTTGCTTCTAAAATTAAAAAGGGACCTACTCCAATGGACATCGGGCAGATTCTCCTGGTTCGGGCGGTGTAATATTAAAATGAATGTTATGCCTCGGATTCTATACCCATTCCAGGCTTTCCCGATCAGGAAGTTACATTGGAGTACCGTTGTCTCACTTACTTTGATCGTGCCGGTTGCCAGCTGTCGACAGCCGCAGCACCCTATTCTGCTACTTAGAGAAAGCGGTTTCGAGTGCTATGGGTTCACTGACTGTGTCTCTCTCGGATCTCTCCCTCTCCTGGGTCAAATTTACTCTGCTGCCCCAAGTCCAGGTTCCTCAATGTCCCGTCCCCCCCTTCTCATTTACAGATATGATTGTTTGAACAGATAAAGACATTGGGGGGTATTTGATCAAGACTGGAGTAAACAGAATCTGGAGCAGTTGGCAACCAATCGGCTTCTCTCTTCAGTTTGCTCAGAGTCAGGGAAGCTGATTGGTTGCAGTGCAAATCTGTTCCAGATTTTTTCCTGCTCCAGTTTTGATAGATCCCCCCCCCACCCCCACTGTGCGGGGTCACCAGGGATGTGCGGTGTCACTGGGGATGTGTGAGGTCACTGGAAATTGTTTGGTGTAAACGGGGGTGTGCGGGGTCACCGGGCATTGTATGGGGTCACTGGGGATTGTTTGGTGTCACTGCAGGTGTGTGGGGTCACCGTTGATTGGTGTCCTGCTCTGTAGATTTCTCCAACATAGACAGAGAGCACAATGACAGTAGATCTCCCTCACACAGAGCACAGCTATGACTCAACTCTGCTCTCTGGGAGGGAGGAGGGGGGCGGTGGGACAGCTGATTGCAGTTTAGAGATAACAACTTGACCCTCTGAGAAACAATTAAAGATCTTGTGGAGGGAATTTCGAATTTCTAGTGCTGGCCACAGACCTTACAACCATCGCAAGACTTTTGTCTTGCGATGGTTATAAGGTAATTAAAAAAACGTACGATCTTCCCATCTTGCACAGGCAAATCGTACTTGAGGGGCGGGCTTCCGATGACCGCAATGCTGAACGGGCAGGTTGCGCTTGCGCACACCGGCCCGTGCGGCATTTATCTTATGAACATGCCACACCCGCCGACAATCGTACGATTCTCGGCGGGTTTTCGAACATGTTCCTAAGATAAAAGCATAGTAAAAACGGTCGCATGCCTTCCACACACCTTGGATGATCGTACGATTGCGGGATTTCCCGCGATTATCGTACGATTATCGCAAGGTATGTGGGCACCTTAGGTCTCTGGCCTGTAAAATCTATAAAATAAAGTATGAAAAACAGCCCTGTGACCCCTGAGAATGCACACACATGTACATCCCCCTACACCTCCCACATTACCACAAAAAACTCAATCACTTACAAAGGTTGAAATGTCCTTTTCAAATCGGTTATTCTCGCAATTTCTATGGATGAACAAACCTCCCCACTTAAAATTTGGTGGTGGAATTGGCTTGCCTGGTGGTGGAATTGGTGGAATTGGCTTGCCTGATGCATCAGTGTACTATGCAGCATGTCGCCTAGCTCGAATTATGGATTGGTTCCGAAAAAAGAATTGAAGCCCTGAATACAAGTAGAAGAGGCAGACATTGACATACCGTTACAATGTCTTCCCTGGTGTAACTTATCCATCCCATTAAGTGTACGTAAGCATTCCACGGTCGGAGCCACTTGGACTGTGGGGAATAGATTCCTAGATTCAGCCCACATTTCACCCCGACACTCTCCCCTTTATACAATCCTAGGCAATCCGTCCTTTACTTTGGGTCTAAAGGATGCTGCTTTCCGATTCCTTCTCCGATCCCAACACTTTGGGGCTATGCACTTTACCTAGTCTGAGATTCTGGAGCAGCAACCAATTGTCCCATTTTTTTTGGTTCCCTACTGCCTGCCATGGACTTTGCTCGCCCACTTACCACTTTCGAAAAAAATGTGTCCAATTGGGCCCTCTAAGTCACGCAGTCTCCTTCGCATATTTTCTATTACTAACACCTGCCACAGAGTTTATACTGGACTATGTACGGAAGTGGAAGCGAGATCTTGGTATCAAGTTCACTCAGGAACAGACTACTAAATTACTACATTTTACATTTAGGTCCTCGATACATGCACGCTTTCCAGAGTCGGGGTTCAAACTTCTCACCAGGTGGTATAGACCACCTCAGGTCCTACATGCCATGTTTCCATTGGTCCCCAACTGCTGTTGGAGGTGTAAGCCTCATTAGGTGACTTACTGCATATATTCTGGTCCTGCCCCAGGGTGATTCCTTTTTGGTCATTTGTTAAATCCATACTGAGCAACCTCACGGACAAAGAGATTCCGTGGGATCCGGCCTTCTTTCTCCTACACTATAACACCTTCCCCAGAAAGTTCTACAAAAAATATTTTATCCCACACCTGAATGCCGCCAGATGTTGTATACCAGAGTTGTGGAAATCCGAAAGGTCCCCCATATTATCCATGTGGCTACACAGGGTGAGTGAAGTGGAACGAATGGAGAAACCTGGTTTCGTTTAGTAAGGGCTCCCACGCCAGACACTGCAAGACATGGCTTCCCTGGACAGAATTTGTTCAGACTCCTGAATTCTCTGTAATGCTACCTGACACCCAAGATTGTGGTACAGGCTCATCTCCTATACCTGCTTTGGAGTCCAGGGGTAGTTTTGACATTAATGGATGAACTCTCCGTCTGTGTTTCTCTATTTTATCTTGCTAGTCTTCACCTTTTCCCTTCTTGAGTACCTATTTGTCTCCGTTGTCCCTATATTCCTATAGTGATACAGATACCTAGATAGGAACTTGAGTTTGCATTACTCGTGGGGTCCACACCAGCTTTGGTAATCACTCAGATGTCTTCTTAATTAACTCAGCTCCCTATTTACAACTGATTATACCTAAGATCAAATATACATCCTTCTATTGCAAGTAGATGTAGACAGACTCCTCCAACCCTGGAGCTACCCCTGGGAGAGCCTAGCTATTCGAGTTGGAACAATGTTTTATATTTGTTGACCGGGATGCAAAGTGTGACACTTGGATTAGGGAGAGAATCCAGTACCCTCGGGTTCTCTCGCTTATATAAACCTCTCCGTGTTATGTGATGTACTACTAGGTATGTTTATTGTCTTTGGTACTTTTCTTTCTGTTTTCTATATGATGTATATATTGTTTTGGGGGAAAAAAACCTGGAAATTAAAGAATTTATTTTTTTAAATACTGAAAAATAGCCTGGCCAGGAAGGGGGTTTAAACACCTGGTCAGCAAGTGGTTAAAATACACCTATGATAAAAATTATAGACCTTTAATTTATGTGTAAGTGGGCAAACTTACCACCAAATCTGCAGGGCATCAAATAATTATTTTCCTCACTGTGTACAGTATATATGTGTATGTATATTTATATCCCAACTTTGTGGGAACAGTTTGGGGATGGTCCCTTCCTGTTCCAACATGACTGCGCACCAGTGCACAAAGCAAGGTCCATAAAGACATGGATGAGCGAGTTTGGGGTGGAGGAACCTGACTGGCCTGCGCAGAGTCCTGACATCAGCCCGATAGATCACCTTTGGGATGAATTAGTGTGGAGACTGCGAGCCAGGCCTTCTCGTCCAGCATCAGTACCTGACCTCACAAATGCGCTTCTGGAAGAATGGTCAAACATTCCCATACACACTCCTAAACCTTGAGGACAGCCTTCCCAGAAGAGTTGAAGCTGTTATAGCTGCAAAGGGTGGGCCAACTTAATATTGAACCCTACGGACTAAGACTGGGATGCCATTAAAGTTCATGTGCATGTAAAGGCAGGCGTCCCAATACGTTTGGCAATATTGTGTGTGTAATAAATATATATATAATTTTATTATTGGTTTATTTAAACTTATGCAATATTTGAGTATTTATGAATTGAACACTTGTACGGCAAATGGTAGAATAGTGAATGCAGTTAAAATACCTCTTCATTCTAGTGAATTGATCCTATTGTATTGCAATGGATGTAAAAATTTCCTTTTTAAAAAGTGCATTTTGTTTTTTCTTTTAGGATATGCCTTTTACTTGTGAAGGTATTACCCCAGATATTATCATCAACCCCCATGCTATCCCTTCTCGTATGACAATTGGACACTTGATTGAATGTCTCCAAGGGAAGGTAAATGACTCAACTGTGAATTTGTTTTAACTTCACTCCAGACAATATAAAGCACATTTTCTGATCTTGCATGACTAGAGACGGGATTAATTCTGAAACCTGTGAGATTATACAGTTACCTTCAGGCAACTGCACACTGGCAAATCAAAGTTGTAAGGACAGCCCTGTTTAACCCCACCCACTCAGTTTCTCTAGTGATGGATACCATCTCTCTGTTCTAGGTTTTCCTTGAGCTTCTCAGCCATATCGTTTGATTTCTGAGCGAAATCGGGTTTTCATACGATAATCGGCCAGTTGATGGGAAGTCAACTATCACAATTACTGTAAAACTGGCTGGCTGGCTAGAAAACTTTTTTTCAAATCGTACGAAAATCAATGGATTAGTGGCGCTTTCCTACGAGAAGAATCTCAACATGAACACTGCACATGCGCAAACAATCTGTCGATCGATCAAAATTCGGTTAGTTAGTATTGCTAACGAACGATAATTGAAACCCACATTGGTCTGTGCATGATGGGGCAGTCATGCCGAAATCGAACGACGGTTCAATGACGGTCGAAAAATATTGTACGATAATTGTAAGGTGTATGGCCACCTTTAGGCAATTGTTCTGGATCAGGTTCTGGCCCTTCTGGAGACACTGTTTTTGACAGTCCTATGCTCTGCTCCTTTTCCCTGTCCTCATCACCCTCAAGGGCACCCTCCTCTACCTGCTATTTAGTGAGGAGTTTTCTTGAGTAATAATTTCATCAAATCAGTCCAATCCAGATGGTGATTGAAGTAGTGAATCAGTGTGAACTGAATACCCCAAGTGATTTAAGAAAGTTCCACATCCAATTTCATGAAATCACTTGGGGTATTCAGTTCACACTGATTCACTACTTCAATCACCATCTGGATTGGACTGATTTGATGGAATGTTGCTGTTTATTATCAATAATAGATTATTAGTCGGTTATTACTTTATTATATATTTTGAGAATATTATTACCAATGAGTGTTCATATTTTTATATGTCTGATATATATCACTTTATTTTAGAGGTGCTCCGAGATGCAAATTTCAAAACTGAAACGAAACCGAAATTTAAAAAAATGTCAGGCCGAAGCCGAAAATGTTGTTTTTATTTGAACTTTTTTAAATATTTTATTCTTATTTACTTTTTATAAAGTTTACATTTTTTAATTATTTTTATTAAATATTTTTATTTTTTACTTTTAGGGGCTTCGGGGAAATATTAGGGGGCTAAACAGACTCCTGATATTTCCCTTTTAAAATAGAAAAAGAGATTGGGGACGCATAGTCCTCAATCCCTTTTTCTGCAGCCCCTGTTATAAATGAAAAGGAATCCTCTATACTGAGTGTTCATGTTCATTCATAACTTGAGAACATGTGTATGTTTACTATAACCACAACTATGAATGAACAGAAGGTGATGTAGATCACTTCCCATTCAGTCATAATTGAGGATATAGTAATCACGCTATGTCCTCATGTACAAACACTCAGCCATCACTGAGTGTTTGCATTGGCTCTCCTTCCGGACACGCTGTCACAGGAAGCTAAGCGAGCGGTGCGGGGAGGAGAGCTCAGCCTCCTGTGACAGCGCGGGCTGTCTCAGCCCACACGCCGATCTTTGACAGGAGGCTGAGCGGTGTGGGAGGAGACACGCCGGCCGCTCACAGCACTCAGCCGGCTGTCACAGTTTCTCTCCTCCCTGCTGGGACACAGAACAGCGCCCAGCAGGTAGGAGAGAATACACCGATGCAGCACTGTATCGGCCAGAAAATGGCACTTTCGGCATTGTGCCAAAAGTGCCATTTTCGGCCGATATGTTTCTTTCGGGTGATATATCGGTGCATCCCTATTTTATCACTTGATAGTGGTTTAATATTGGTTTAATTTATTTACACCTTAAGGTGCGTCATTTATGAGTTTTTGAAAGTTTTTAGCGCTGTGCATTTTCACTTCAGATATTTAAGAGATTTGTGCTTCATCTATCCTAAAGATATTCTTATTTCTTGAGTAATGGCTGGATTCATGGGTAAAAATGTCTTGCCTATTAAGAGTCCTCAGACTGCAGGGGGCACAGGCAGGCCTCCTCAGAGTCCCCATTTTAACCTTTCTTTGTGGGCCTTTCCACTCCCTGAGGAAGAAGGGGCTGCTTCCAATTTGGCTGACCCAGGAAGAGGTCCTGTCTCCTGACATCCCTCCTAAGTTCAAGGACAATATTTCTATCACTGTGGATGTGGTATGTACTTATTTCCAATTGGAGCCCAAGGTCCCTAGTCTAGGTTCTTTAACCGCCTTCTGGCTGGCCATTGTAAAAAGACGATATTTCAGTATTCTCAGTAAACGGGCAGCGATGCCCGTTTACATGCGATCCGCCGGCTATAGAGCCGGCAGATCGCTTGTATGAGGTGCCGATATGTGCGGCCCCCCACACCCTTCCCGCTATCACGCTGGTCCCGGGCTCCGCTGTGCCCGGTGCAAGCCCGGGACCAGCATGGTGGCTCTGTGACGGGATCAGAGGGAGATCGGTACACGATCCCCTCAGGTGTCAGAATGCGGAAGTGATGTATCTTCCGCATTCTTGTGTCTCTCTCCAGCTTCGGAAGCTGATGAAGCAGATCTCTGCTTCATCAGCTTCTTTGGGGGTCCCTAAGTGACAGGGGTCTTCCAGACCCCTGATTTCTCCATAAAAAGGACCTGTCACATCCTCTTTGCTATCACATAGGGGGGTGTCTTAGTCCCCTATGTGATAACAATAAAGTTAAGTGAAGAAAAAAAATTAAATTTGCAAAAAAAACATTTTAAATCACACATGAAAAAGAATGTAAAAATGTTTTAAAAACGCACACACCACCCATACATACACGCATGCAAACATGCGTCAGGTGCGTATACTTGCGAAAACGACGATTGCGCCCATTACGCCGCACATGTTACATTTTGCCACAAACGTCGCAGTGAGAGCAATAATTCTAGGCCATTAATCAGTGATAACACTAAACTGACGAGCGGTGCGCATCATTTTAATGCTTGAAAGGTTTGGTGTCTATATACCCGACAAAAATGTCTTGCCTATTAAGAGTCCTCAGACTGCAGGGGGCACAGGCAGGCCTCCTCAGAGTCCCCATTTTAACCTTTCTTTGTGGGCCTTTCCACTCCCTGAGGAAGAAGGGGCTGCTTCCAATTTGGCTGACCCAGGAAGAGGTCCTGTCTCCTGACATCCCTCCTAAGTTCAAGGACAATATTTCTATCACTGTGGATGTGGTATGTACTTATTTCCAATTGGAGCCCAAGGTCCCTAGTCTAGGTTCTTTAACCGCCTTCTGGCTGGCCAGATTTGGCTGACCCCGTCTTTTATATTTTACCAAAAGATTGATCAATAATAATTCTATTAACAATGTAAAAAAAAAATTGTATTCAACATTTTCAGTCATTTTTCCTTAATATAGTAAAAAATAAAAACCCCAGTGGGGATTAAATACCGCCAAAAGAAAACTCTATCTGCCCCCCAAAAATGGTATAAAATTCATTTCAGTACAGCGTTGGATGACAGTCTAAATGTCAAAGTACCGCAGCGCTGAATACTGAAAAATGGCCTGGACTGGAAGGGGGTATGACACCTGGTCTTCAAGTGGTTAAACATGCAAAAGCCAGCTAAATCCTTTTGTGGTACAGTTGTTTTAACAGTAATGTATTTTGACTGGCTCACCTTCAAAAGTTTACTCTTCCCAAATGATAACCCTTTTGAAGAGGGTTTCCTTAGGAAATGGGCTGTTCCTGTTGTGACCATGTTGACAAGAGATTTGAAACCCTCTTAAAAGCCTTGGGTCCTTGCAGACCCTGCTAAGCAACCTGCTGTTGCCACCATGGCCGTGTGTCAGACTCTGTATAGGGTCTAAATCTGTAGTGAGGGACCCTTTTCCATCTGGATGTACCCTGCCATTGTTAAACAGATGCACATTTTTCCTGTGGCCCTGCCCTTATGTTGATGGCCTAGCAGATACCATCCCACATCTCTAGATCAGTGTCCTGTCTGTTCACTACTTATCCTATGGCTTTAATGTTGGTCTGTGGATCTTCAGTGCAAAAAAGCACCTGGAGCTCATGCCCTCTGGGGGGGAGCAGCTTTTTGGTGAATTCTTAGTAGCGTTGCACCGTCACTAGTATCGGTATCTGTGTACTTGCCCAAATGCTCCGATACCTACCTCTGATACTGGAACTTCCGGCAACTGCCGAGGAAGCACGGAGCCAGCTTCCTTTCCAATCAGGAAGACAGGCTGCTTAGCAACGAGTGACGCCAGCTTCCTAGCCAATCAGGAAGCCAAGAGGAGGCTCATCACGTACCGCCCGGCTTCCTGAATTGGCTAGGAAGCCGGCTTCGCCTGTTGCTAGGCAATCTGGTTTCCTGACCAATCGGGAAGCTGGACGGCACCTCATAACTCGCCACACGGCTTCTTGATTAGTTTGGAAGCCAAGCAGCCTCGGCATATGAAGCCAGTGTTTCACTAAAACTGCGGCTTTACAGGCAGTCAGGAAGATGGGTGACGGGTCATGATCCGCCGCCGGACTTCCTGATAATCTGGGCACACTGCACCGGTACTCTGTATCGGTGAGTACCGAAAAAAGTAACGGTGCACCCATAAGTCTTATATAATTAAATCAAGCAAGTTATGGGGGGGGGGTGCAAGAGCACCACATCAGAAGTCGTTCAGACCCCCAGTAGCAATTCTTCCCACTCTCTAAGAGAAGTTCCTTTCTCTTAAGCCTCAGGTTCTAAGACGAAGCTATGCAAAATACAGGGAAAAAAGCCCTCTTCAAAATGAAGGGGGGCTCCCACTTTCAATGTTGAAAGTTTGGGGTGTTTGTTGGCTTTCACTACCTCCTGGGTCTCTGACGTTCCAGGCTGCAGGGCATCGTAACCAAAGGTTAGAAACTGGAGTTTACTATATGCCTACTCCTCTCTTGCTGCCATTGAAAGTCAAAGGGA